GAATGTAGATGGCATTTTTCTGTTCCTGGAGGTGGGTGGTGGTGGCAGTGACAAGTGAATTTATTGCATCTGTGACTTTCAAGGGACAGTTCTCAGACTATTGTCATCAGCTTCACCTTGGGATAAAATATTCTTTAAATAACAATATAGATATTTCCTATAAAAAAGACCTCTTATGCTCTAATTCAGGCTCTCTGGGGATCATCTATCTCTTGGTACAGCCCCTGCTACAGCAGGTAACCCTGGGAGCTCGGATTACCTTCATGTAGGTGCAACTTGAACGTTCTTCTTGTTTCCTTGCCTTCTGCCCAAGGTGACATACACGTGTGTGTGCAATAGCTAAAAATGAGCCTGAAAACCAAAATTCCAAAGCATATGAATAATCCAATGCTAAGAAAGAAGCCAACAGTATCAATAAATGAAATATAAATTCACTCATGAAATTAATTTTGGGGGACAAACTGAAAAACATTTAAAAATTTATATGTTTAGGATATTCAAAGGGATAAATAAAGAAATAACAAGAAAGTATGGCAGAAAATAGGCAAAATGAAAGTACTAATTATAAAACCTGGAATTTAAAAAATAACTATTGAAATAATTCTACAGGTGGAATTTTTAGATTGATTCCAGTTGATGAAGGACTCAGTTCATGGTTCTAGTGAATAGTTCTGATGCAGGTAGAGCAGGGAAAAGGGGAATCAGTCAATCAGTTAGCAAATAAATAACACAAGGATAAATTGAGATGTCCCAACTGACATGTAAAAGGAGTTCCAGAGAAGTTGAATGGGAGAAATGGTAGGGAAGCAATATTTGAGAATATAATATTAATAACTGGGGATTGTCTAGAACTGAAGACATGAATCATCATATCAAAAGTACATTTTAAGCCCTAAGAAAGATAAATAAAATTTATTGACGCTTGGATATGTCATAATTAAACCCCAGAATACTAAGACTCATGAAAAGAGTCTTAAAAATTATAAGAAAAGACAGATTGCCTACAAAGGAATGACTGTTAGACTGGCAGCAGACTGATCAGTGCCAATGGACATTAGAGGACAATGGAGTATCATCTTTGAAGTACTGATGATGTCTCGCTAAATTATGTTATAGCAAAAAAAAAAAAATAGGTAAAAAACGTATTGATGAAATCTTGAAATTTATACCTAGCTAAACTTTCCATTTAGTGGGAAGGACAAAATAGAAATATATATTTTTTTATTTTAGACATTTTGGTTACAGTGTGTATCTTTGCCTCTCCCTAAAAAGGGATAGAGGTAATCCCTTCCCCCCTACAATGGTCACCACATCCTTAAGATGTGGGTCTCCCCCCTGAAATCCCTATTGAACACTACCATTTTTGAGCACCGTAGTTTTAGTCTGTCAGTACCAATTTGATGGTGAGTAGATGTGTACCCCATTTTCCAGGTCTTGTGTCGTCTCACTTTGTATTACGGGTTTAAGCTTAATCCAGGATAGCATAAATGGTGCTAGCTCACTATCGTTTCTTAGGATTGAGTAATATTCCACTGTGAGCATATACCACATTTTAGTTGTCCACTCATGAATTGACAGGCACTTGGGTAGTTTCCATGACTGTGCAATAGTGAATTGTGCTGCCATAAACATTCGGGTGCAGATGTCTTTATGATAGAGTGACTTATGTTCTTTTGGGTAGATGCCCAACAATGGTGTTGCTGGGTCGAATGGTATTTCTATTTCTAGCTGTTTGAGGCATCTCCAAATTCTTTTCCACAAAGGTTGCACTAATTTGCAGTCCCACCAGCAGCGTAAGAGTGTTCCTGTCTCTCCACATCCTCCCTAGCATTTGTTGTTTTGGGATTTAAAATAGAAATATTTGAGACATGAAAAGACTTAAGAGAGTTCATAACTCATAGACACTTACTAAAAGACTGTTTAAAAGATACATTTCAGCAAGACAAAGAAGTAATTTAAAGGCAAATCATGAGCTATAAGAAACAACGGGTTCAAAAATGATTAAAAATGTTGATCATTGAATCAACTGTCCAAAACCTAAAGGGTCATTCTGTGTGAGGGGCCTTGAATTTGGGAGGAAGGTAGAAATACTAACTTCAGACTTGGTTAGGAAAACACGATAGTGAAGTATGTATATAGAAATAGTAAAGGTAAACCCTAAAAGAACGATATATATATATTACCTCCATATCAGTCAGGAGAAGTCAGCAGTGGCCATACATTTCTCTCAGAGTAAAATTCAAAGTCCTTAATGATCCCACAAGGCCCTACATGATCTGGCTTAGCTGATTTTTGTCCAACCACTGCCTCCTTGATCACTCCACAAAAGCAATGCTGGCTTCCTTCCTGCCCTTAACCATAGCAGCGCCTTCTCCATGCCTGTGTGGGACTGTCGCCTCTGCCCTTTCCCTGGGTGTCTGAACGCGGGGCTGCCTCATTGTCTTCAAGTCTGTGTTTGCAGTCACTTTATCTTTGAGTCCCACCCTGGACACTTATTTATTTATTGAGATAGAGTCTCACTCTGTTGCCCCGGCTAGAGTGCCATGGCATCAGCCTAGCTCACAGCAACCTCAAACTACTGGGCTCAAATGATCCACCTGCCTCGGCCTCCCAGAGTGCTAGGATTACAGGCGTGAGCCACCACGCTCGGCCTTGGACACCTAATTTAAAATTGTGCCCTCCAGCCCTCCTGATCTCCCTGGCTTGCTCTGATTTGCTTTCTTTTTTTTTGCTTTATAGCTCTTTTTACCTTCTAACTTACGATCTCATCTCCCTATTATCTTCAGTGCTTCTTATCTGTCTTTCCCCACTAGAGCTATGTACCAAAGAAGCTGTGGGTCCGACTGCCCATCCACGTGGTTTGCTCATGCCCCCGGTCCTGCCTGGGTGTGATCCCAGATGGACAAGTCCTACTTTATGATGGGGGGGGGAGCGAACCCACATGACCTTATGCTTTGGCAAGTCTAATGGGACTTAGCTTTTGATCAGAAGTTGCAGCCACATGGTCCCCTTGTGTCCTGTGGTTGAGCACTTTGCAATAAGCTTCACTAGCACCCAGGTCATGGTCTTGAAATGCTTTTTCCCGTTTAAAGAAATAGGCTTCTTGGAGAAATGGTCGAATCTGAGTCTAGAGCAGGAAATGTACAGGATGAGCCTGGAACATCCTATCAAACTGGAGCACACGGAAGCTCCTGGGAGCCTTGTGGCCGAGTACCTTCAGCAGAGCTGCACAGTTCACATTTTGCCTGTCCTTCTCCAAAGAGTTCCTGTCATCACTCCTCATCCCAGGGAATGCAATGAAGTGAAATAGTGAATAGTGAATCCTTTCGCCAGAGACCTGGAGATACTTAATTTTTGTAGACACTAAGTAAATATTTATTTATATTCACTGGTAGCAAACAATTCACTTTTAAGCAGGAAAAATGGTATAGCAGAGTGTAACTCAAATGATGCATGTGCTTATGTTATTTCTTTGAATTTTTTGCTTTTCTTTAAAAATGTATATATTTTTCATTTTTAAAGTAATAGTAATTTATTGCAGAAAAACTTGAACAATGAAAAAATATTCCTAAATCACCACCACTGTAATATAATCATAGTAATAACTTTAGTATCTTTCCTTCTAGTCTATTTTGGTGTGATTTTTTTTATAGTTATAATAAAAACATGCACATAATTGTGTTTTTCCTTTTTAATTTAGCTTTGGATAATTATGATAGAATCATATACATATTTCTGTGTTGCAATATTAACACAACAGTAATTTTTTTGCTGCAACGAATTTTATTATTTGGCTCTATCATACTTTTTAACTGTTAACCTATTTTTGGTTAGTAGATTTCCCCTCACATTTTAGGCAATAGAATATTTTTGTACAACATTATTTCTTTTTGGGTTTTGTTATTGCTTTGAATTTTTGTTGTAGAATATTAACAAGTGTCAAGAATTTCAGTAAACTCGTAGTTTTTCTTTTATCTGTGTTATCGAATCTAGCAAATCAAGTGATTGTGAGAGTCAAAGGCATATCTTAGTTTACCAACTGTTGTTCCACCCAAGGTCTTAGCCCTCTGTGACTTCCTAAAGCCACGTAAAACGTAAGTGAGGCAGTAATCTTGCTAACATCCACAGATGGGCCACAGAACAGCAGTTGTGCTGGTTAATTTAGAAACTTACAGTAGGAAATGGGGGTTCTTTATTTGGTGCCCAAGGAAATGCAAAACGGCATTCTTGATATGTGTGAGGATGTGCATTCTTGGGAGATGGGCCTTGATTTTTATTGTATGTTCAAAGGGATCCAGTCACTACTGGTATAAACACAATGTTTGCTAGTTGAGTGGAATGCTCATTTTTTGAGTTTGATGTTATTCCCTCCTTCTCTGCCTCCCCTCCACACACACCCACCCTGATTCATTGTATTTGGAAATAGAACTCAGAAAAATATACTTTTGGGTGAGCAGTGATTTATTCCATGCAAGTTTATAGTAATTTAAAAAAAAAATTTAAAAACTGAGCACATATGTGAGATTGTTAACTGCAAATACTGTATCGATCTATGTTGATTTTGGAAGTTTTCCCACTAAAATAAATAATTTAATAACATAAATCTTCATTAAAATATTTTCTTTTTAATAAAAGCATGACCAGAAAGCTGATCATTAAGTAAATTTCTATTAATTCAAGTTATGAGTTGAGTGTTGAATTTATTCATAAAATATAATTATTCTTTTACTATGTTATTTGGAAAGGTACAGATTTACTAACTCTATTAAATTTGAGGCTTTCTAAGTTTTTGCATAGCTGAAGCAAAGAGATGTTTCTATACAAATAACATTAAATAAAATTATTTACCAGTATTATAAACTTTCCTTCTTTAAAAGTAAATCTTAGTCATTTTTGATTACCAAATGACAGGAGAAACTTCTCTTTTCTAGTCGAACAGGTAATATGTAAGGACCACCTTGTTTTGGATAAATGATTAATTGGTTTTGTTTTTTTTTAAGGAATGGGCTGTTTCTGGGGAGCTGAAAGGAAGTTCTGGATCTTGAAAGGAGTGTATTCGACTCAAGTTGGTTTTGCAGGAGGCTATACTTCTAATCCTACTTATAAAGAAGTCTGCTCAGGTAGGAAGAATTTGCATTGTCCTATTAGTAGGAGAAACAAGGGAGGCCTTGTCCCTGCTGTTGGGTGACAGGTTATTTAAAATGGAAATGCAATTTTTATACGTTTCCTCAGTCTTTACCATTTCTGTAAATATGCTTATTAGCCTCTCACTTTATATTTTTAGAAAATGATAAACTTCCTATGAAATGTATCATTTAACTTTTGCTGTGGAACAAACACCCTAAAACTTAGTGGCTTAAAACAGTCATTTTATTAGCTTATGATTTCCGATGATCCCAAAATTAGGCTGTGCTCAGCTTGGTGTTTCTTCTGCTGGTCTCCCCTGGACCTACTCCTCTGTGGCTTTGGTCAACTGGTGGGTTGGGTGGGGGCTAGTTGGCCTAGGCTGGCTTCACTCATATATCTGGAAACTGGTGCTTACTGTTGGGGAGATGACGGGGACGATGGACCACGTGTCTTCAGCACACTGGACTGCGCTAATTCATGCGGTGGTGGGTGCAGAGAACCCAGGAGCAGCAAGAGAGGACGAACTTGTTCTCTATGTCAGGTTTACTATTATCCCATTGTCCAGAGCAAGTCACGTGGTCTAGCCTAGAGTCGATGTGGGATGGGCTCCCCAAAGGCAGGGAGACAGGGAGGTAGGGAAGTGTGGAGAAATCAGGACCATTTCTGCAACAGTCCACACGTGGGACTGACACAACGTGGACCAGACGTGTTTTCTGGAGGGAAAAGCATAAAAAGCCATGCTGTAATGCACAGATCAGCAAACTCTGGCCCAGAGGCTGAATCCTGCTTGCTGCCTGTCTATATAAATACATTTTCGTAGCAACATAGCCATGCCCATTATTATTACTTTTTTTTTTTTTTTTTTTACATATTATCTATGAGTGCATTTATGCCCCAGTGGCAGACTTGAGTGGTTGCAAAAGACTCTATGGTCTGCAATATTTTCTGTCTGGCCCTTTGCAGCAAAACATTTACCAACCTGTGCTCGAGGCTAATAGGACAGGCAGACGCCCCTATGGCAAATTCTATCTGGATTACCAGATTACCTGTCGGGATTTGTTTCCGGTCCTCAAGGATTTCCTTTCCTTTCCTGCCAGCTCAGTAGTATTTAAAACAATTTTCTAAAAGAGTATTTTATTCACCATCTTAAGAAGTCTTAGAAGGGAGAGTTTATCTGGATCTGTAGTCCGCCATATTGACAGAAATGGGATTTTAAAAATATGTAAACAGTCTTTTCTTTTTAAAGTCAACTCTCGGATTGGTTTTATTTGTGGAGGATGCTCTCGATTTCTGAGGGCCTGGTAGTGTGGCAGGGAGGGTGGGAGCCTGTGGAATAACGAGCACGTTGATTTGTTTGCCACAATATGAATTCTGATTCTGAAATGAAATTTGAGCTGCACAACAATGAAAATACTCTACAAATATGCATTTTCTCGTTTTTCTTACCTCTAGAGAAGAATTGAAACACTCTGGTTGGCATTGAGAATGTGGAATATCCAACAAATGCTTTAATGGTTAATCTATTTTTTTTTTTTTTTGCTTCTGTTTCAAAATTAAACAAATGTTCAGGCAGAGCTATAAATAGAGGTTCTAACGAACCCTAGAGATTGCCCAGGTGTATCCTCTCAAGTCTTAGGAATGGAAATGAATAGGTTCCTTCCTGCAATTCCAGACATGACTTAATGGGCTAAGAGAAAAAGGTTGCTAAGAAAACCCCCAAATATCTACTGTTACACCCATTGTCCTCAACCAGAAAGATGCTAATCATCCATTAGAATATTGCGATGGCACGTTTGCTCAGACTCTTTCTAGTTCAACTCTTTACCCGAACGATAACGTGATAATTGCCATGTGTCGGATCCCTGCTACATGCCAGACATCCTAATAAGCACTTTTTCAGTCTTTGTTTTTTTTTACAAACAGATCCACGAAGCGTCTTCGTTTCTGTCTTGTGCAGAGGGAGTGTTGAGGCCCAGAGGGAATAAGTAACTTACCCAAGGTCGTGCATGGCAGGAATGCCTACCTCACCAGCTCTCAGCCCAGAGTTTATGCCACTGACTAGGGTGTAAGTTGTCCGGCTGCCACTGCAGCCCAGCTGTTCTCCATCCATCCATTTGCCCTCCCTCCATCAAGTCGCAAATCCTCTTCCCTGTCTGTCCCTCTCCTCTACTTCTCCTCTACTTCTGAATATGTGGGTGTGCTTTTGAATGATTACTATAAGAAAAATGCCAAGGAATTTTGGTTTTGTCTTCCTTATGTTTAGAAGGAAACAGGGCAGAACCCTTTTAGGATACAGTTCATGCAAACAGCTGGTGTGTGAGAGGCCTGGAGCAGCGGTGGGGCACAGAAACCACGGAGGCTGGGGGAGAACTCTCTATTTGATACGAGCACTACCTGCTAAGTTAGCGGCAGCATTGGGAAGCATGGTTGTCATGGAAACTCGTTCCTGATTGGAGAGAGAGAGTTATATAGGGTCTTACCCAGATGCAGAAGGAGAGATGATTTCTTTCCCTAGGCCTTTTTGTGTGTGTGTGTGTGTGTGTGTTCTGATCATAAAAGGGAAAAACAAAAAGGCAGAGAGAAGCTATGATAGAAAGGTCCCTCTGGCACAGAAGTGGTAGAGCCTTCAGATCCCTGGGAATAGCAGGAAAGGAGAACAAATAAGGTCCCTAGCTAGAGTAATTATGGTAACCAGCTAATTAAAGATTTTTGACCGAGGAGAGAGGGGTGGGGGAAACAGCGAGCAGGGTATACTGGCAGGCCTCCCCTCCGAAGACTCTGCTGCTCAAAGCCTTGCTGAGCAAGTCGGCTCTGGAAGGGTCTGAGTTGAAAGACAAAAAACAAAAAACAAAAAACAAAAAAAAAAACCCAAAAACAAGGCTCTGGTAAGATACATAATAATTGCCCAGGTTCATTCACTGTGGCAGAAATACTAGTCTATGCTCTAGTATTCGCATTACTGTCAAAATTGCTTACTCTTGTGTGTACAGTTCACTTTGATCACAACCCAGGAATATTTTGTAAAGGTTTTAATTTTATTTTTATTTTTTTAAGAAAAGAAGCACAAGGACCTGGGTTGTGTGCAAATTGTACCATTTGGTACCATTTGGGACGGGTGCCAGAATCGTGTAGGGAGGGGCTGACCGAAATGCCCGGGCCGGCTCTGTCACCACCCGCCGCCCTGACACCTGCGGGGTGACGCGCACCAGGGCTTCCACAGGCAGCGTGTGGGCACGCAGGTGACGATCACAGCCCCGGGAGCCACGGACTCAAGGTTGCCACGCCCGCCCCACTTGGGGGAGCACACGGCGTGGACACAGGGGACGTGCGAGTGAGCATGTATGTGAGCACAGAGGCAACACGTGTTGCGGATCCGAGGCTCCATGGTGTTTCTACGTGGAGGCTGATGGGCCCGTAACTCCGACAGCCGAGCTGGAGTTGCACTTCGGCGTGGAGAGAAGACACAGCCTCTGGGAACAGCTGAGAGGGGAGAGGACCCCGGCAGAGAGCTGCGGGTGGAGACCTGCGGGTGGAGACCTGCGGGTGGAGAGCTGCGGGTGGAGACCTGCGGGTGGAGAGCTGCGGGTGGAGAGCTGCGGGCGGAGGGCTGCGGGCGGAGGGCTGCGGGTGGAGACCTGCGGGTGGAGAGCTGAGCAGAGCATTCAGGGACAGGCTCAGTGACGGGTCCGTTCGCGATGAGTGACCTCCAGGTGTTCCTCGAGACTGACGTATGGAGAGGATACACGGCGACGGCAGCTCCTTAAGAATTAGGAATAAAGTTGCCCGTTGGGAATGGAAGTATAAAATAAGCCTGTACTGAGTCGGAGTGGAGATGGGCAATGACTCAGAAGACAGATTGGTTTCTGGGTCTGTGGGACTTCCGAGGAAACTGATGGAATGCCCTGACTATGTAACACGAGAATTTGGGCCTTAGCAGGAGATTGGGAAGCCAGGACAGGAGAGGGGGTCCTGGTGGCACCCCATGGGTTGCTCTGGGCAGACCCACAGAGCCTGACACCATGGCACTTTTAAATTGTATCACTAACCTCTTCTTCTGATCCATACTTTTCTGATCCAACCTTCTAATCTTTTGTCCTCCTGTGGAGATTATTTACAGAAAGAAAATGCAATGGACCAGGTTTTTTTCAGGCAGACACTTCTAATTCTCATTTCCAATTCAATAAAATGCCACCCTGAGATGTCTGTCTCAGTCTATTGTGAGTTTAGTCTGCACAGGTCATCCTCTCCAAACTGAACTAATCTCGGGTTGAACTAAATGATGAAAATGGAATTTTGGCCTCCACAGCTGAGAGCCAGAAGCCAGACCTCCATGATTTTCCAAAGGCTGCGGCTGCCTCCTTGCATTCCCCTGGCAATTCCCCATCCCTTGCAGGTGCCCACGATTTCATTTAAACCCGTTTTCAAAGTGAACATCCTCCTGTAATCTTCCCTTCCTCACATTCATCAAGTAACACTGAACCTACAGTGCACAGGCCGAGAGCCTATCCTCTCCCAGATGTTTTGGGCCTGAATCCGCACCCTCTGAGAGCCGCCCACCCCCACCTTCTGCGCCAGGCCCCCTGTCTCTGCTCGGCTGTGGGGCAGCAGCTCTCGAGGCCTGCCGACCTGCTTCTGACCTGTCTCTGGGACATGCGGAGTGATGTAAGTCTCCTAAAATGATTTCCAAGGCTTCATCCACTCATCCGTGCTGGCGCCAGAGAACCCACGATCTGGACGGAGTGAATAGCCACAAGAGGCCTAAGTTTCATGCAGGCTTTCTTGAATAAATTAAATATGCCATTTACTGGGAGCGTGCCGGGTGCAAGACACTGTCCCAGGTACTAGGGGAAGGTGGTTTATGGGGTGAAGTTGAATAATCCTAGCCCTCATCTTCCAGAATTCTCTCCCCTATAGTCACACGAAGGCTTGCTCTCTCACATGTGTTTTGAAGAGTTGGGCTGACGCTGGTTTTCTCGTTACACAGGCGCACACG